TTTATTTAAAATTATTAATTCAATCTAGACAATAATTTTTCGCTCTATATTTAGGTTTTAATATATGTCAATTAAAAAAAATTCAAAAATAGGCTTGGATTTATCTCAAAATAAGGACCTTGTTCTATATGGTTGACCACCTTTTAAAACATGTATTAGTTCAAAGAACTCGATTTAGTCCAAATTATCTTGTATTGTTTAGTCTATGCTCTTATCATTCTCTTATATTATGAGTTCATTGGAAAGTGGTATATAATGTATATAGTATATAATAAAAATGTTATGTTGATATGAGCTCCTCTATGCTGGTCCAAATTATTTTGTATTGGTTATTCTATGTTCTTATCATTCTCTGATATTATGAGTTCATTGGAATGTGGTATATAATGTATATAGTATATAATGAAAATGTTATGTTAATATAAGTTTCTCTATGCTCTATACTCTAATAATATAAATTCATTTTGATGTTGTTTATAATCAAAATATAAAATTTGTATTGGTTCCTTCGTCTATACGCCTATCATAATCTAACAATTGGATTTTATTGTCACGTTCTATATATCTTTATTTTAAAAACTCCTTATTATAATATATTTCTTACTTTATATTTCTCATTTCTTTGAGGCTCTATGCGCTACTGGAAGATGAGGATAAAAGAGAGAAGATATTTCTCACAAATAAATTAAACTTTTTAATATACTCATATTATTCTTTTATATATAGCGCCTTTTTAAACCGGCTAATAAGTTCCCTTTAATACAAAAGCCTAATATGAAAAAGTAGGTCAAAATTCTGTTTTAAAAAAAAACTATTTTTAAAAGCAACGGATAAATTACCTTTTTATTTAAATTTTGCAAAATGAAAAATCAAGGCTGTTTTTTTGTGATTTTGTATTTTAATTTCTATAGATAAGAATATTTTTGTTGTTCCCGTAAATATTCGAACAGTATAAATACAAACCTGAAAATCGTTTAAGAACTTTTTCTGTTTAATCGGTCGTCCAGAAAGCGTGCTCAGTTCCAACTGAAAATCTACTATATACGCCGTAGAACTTAATTTTAAAAAGTGCTCAATTTATAAAAATATAATTTTATTAAAAAAAAAACAGATTAAAATAATATAAAATTTAAAAGTTTTATAAATTAAATTGTTTATAAAGTGTTTTGTCGGCATTCACTTGATGGGGTGAATCATTATTCAATCGATTATTTTATATATATAAAAATGATAATAAATGAAAATAGTGAAATTTGTTTACACTTATCATTAATTAAGTGATAGAGTTTCGAACTGAATAATTTAAAAGGTAAATAACCCAAAAGTTTACATATAAAACGCAGAAGCACTAAGTACATAAATAAGCTTCTCTGAACACTGATTGTTTATTATTAATTACAAACGAATTATATAAATTGATAAGAACATTTTACAATACTCAATAAAATTATCATAATTTCTAATTTAATAAACAAATGCTCTGTGTGTTTTGTTATGCAGTAAAGTGATAGTTGTAAAAATTAGTCAAACAATCTGATTGTTACATTTCTGTTAGTCCATGATATCGGCCTGATAAGAAAATAGCACAGATTGTGTTGCACAGAATTAATATGCAAAATTACATAAAGCAGTATTTAATTTTTTTTATATTTTAATCTATATAAATGTATTTATTTATTTAATAAAAAAAAAATAACAAACATTTTGGTAATTATATATTTAATTTCTATAACTACATTCTTTTTTAAACTGCCGCCTATCTATTACTGGATGTTAGCTATTTATTTCATATGAGTATAAAAGTTCTTTAAGTTAAATAGAAAATAAAATACCTGAGATATAAGAGACATTATCAAAAAAAAAAAAAGAAAATAACTTAATGTGTGTATGCAATATAATTCGATTACGCTAGTTTATCTTGACGAATACTTCTCAGGCACGATTCTTCCCCTCAATATCGTTTATAGAAATTAATATTTAGTACTATCGAAGATAAGCTGCCTTGCGAGGCTTGATAGTTATGACCAGTTCTCACCCTTTTTGACACCGTCATACAACTTATATGGTCGGTCCAAGAAATATTTAGTTAACGACGGTAGCATTACCTTTCAAAAGCTTCTAAAGTAGCTGTTTGTAATTATATACCATAAGATTACACCCATACATATCATAGTATAGATTTATAAATCAAATAAGATATAGTAAATACTATATATAACAATAGAGCATTGATTCTATATCTCATAACAAATCTTATGCAAAAACTGCATATGTAAAAATCAGTATCTCTGATAGTAAATAATATACACTTCAATTAACAAGATAGAAATTATAATTTTTTCACTTTTCTTGTTAGTTTTATAAAAAATATATCAATGAAACAATATCGCTATAACTCTATATAGATATATAGCTACATTCAAAGAGATCTACAAATTGACACGGTAACACAAATATATATAATAGATAAAATAATAATATGAACAATACAATTTTACTCTTGTAATTTTAAAAACTCTAAGGAATCCTATCAAGAAAGCGAAATATATATATATATATTTTTATTTAAATTTTTATTTAAATATATATTTTGTGTGAAACATATATTTTACAAGCGTCCAGCTATAAAAAACCGTAAAGGTTCTGGGGATATCAAATAAAAAAACTATATAATTTGCATTAATATTAACAATAATATTAATATAAGTAATTAATATCTTAAATGATATCTGCAAGAATTATACTATATTATATTGGTTAACATATTATATCTATTGTATTATAGTAATTTTCAGTGATTATAAAATTGTACTTATATATAATCTATTTTTTTGTATAGTCGAAAATAATTCAATTTATTCTTAATCACGTTGTGTACTTTCAAGCACAAGAGTTAAACATGTGCCCAGATAATCTTACAATGGAAATCAAATCACGTTTTAATTAAATGACGCTTAATCAATTTCTTAATGAATATATATATATATATATATATATATATGTAATTAATTTTTAGTTACTTTGTAATTCACTAAACTATTTTTATATATAATATGTTGACATTGATAGACAACTTGATTTCTTTTTATACATACGAGGGCTCCTGACATAGAATTGTCTTCAAATATTTCTTATTGTTTAGTTTTTAAATAAATCGACTATTAATTCAATACTATTTTCCGAACGATGATCCAATTTCTTTAATTCAGCTAAGTAATACATTGCACCAATGTCTTCAAAATATTTATTTTCGTCATCAGCTCTTCATTTGACAATAATATTCATATAACAATAATATTAGATAATAAATAGTAACATAGGACCAGATAACATAGATAGATAACATAGATGAGAATAAATATTACTCACAGCTGAAGTATGAGCCCGTGCATTGCTGTGGTGGAATATAACTACTTTCAACTACTACTACTTTCAAAAAATCGATTTTATTATATGCATTGTCTTTTATTGGGCGTTGACCTTTATCAGTACTCTATTTTGATATTTCTTTAATTTCTAGAATGTAGCTGGTAATTCTTATTTTATCAACAATTATGATGATTTATCAGTTAATGTTATGATGACATTAAAAATAATATATATATCTTTTTAAAGGTATTATTTATAAAATTATAAATAAATATTTCCTAAAGCATCTGTAGAAAACTTTTTGCTTACCCCTCGTATATGTTTTTAGTAAGTAATAACTTACAACATTTTATATATGACACAATCTTACACGATCTTACAATTTGAAAAAAATTGTAAGATCGCAAAATCACAAATACTTAATATAAGACTATTACTTAATTATATTTGTTTTCCTATAATATAACAATTTTATTTATAAAATAAAGCTTTAAAAAATTATTTTATTATCAGAACCAAGCTGAGGGCCTTGTTCTCAACTCTCTGTACTTAACCTTACTTTGTGATTTAATTCTTTGTAAGTTTTGCAACAAATAAATAAATATTTTAAGGTAAATTTTTTCTTGCCGATAATGACGTGTCTTTTTATGACGAAAGAAACTATTTAAAAGTTAGACCGATTCGAATAGCAAAGAAAGACAAAGACAAAAATTTTTTATTTAATTTATTGAAATTTGGCTGACCATACAACGCTGTTTCGAGTATTGCCAAGTACTCTTCATCAGTGGTCTTTGGAAATAATCGAATTTTATTTAATTAGTTTAAAGTCCGTATATAATTTGTTAGGACTGCAAGTGCCAGGCTTAGAACTCGTGCCTGTCAAATTAGAAGCGATGACTAATTGTGTTTATCCACAAGAAGCCAAGGCTGCACAAACTTTCAATGCTCAAGTTCCAGGTTTTATTGTCACTTATTTTTATTTAATTAGTGACACCAACCAAAGCACTTGCCGTGCTTTAAATTAGAACGAGCTTATAAACTACAGCTTTATTTTTGGAAACACAAGTTCAA